CCATTGAGCAGGTTAAGACATCCCAAACATCCACACAGCACAATCCCTCCGACCATGCCACTGTAGTAGCAAATTACTCTCTCGCCAGCCCCTCCGACGTCAATAATGCCATCGACGCCGCACTGGCTGCTAAGCCAGCCTGGGAGGCCCTTCCATTCGCTGACCGGGCGGCCGTCTTCCTCAAAGCAGCTGATCTTATCTCTACAAAATATCGATATGAAATCATGGCTGCCACGATGCTTGGCCAAGGTAAAAATGCCTGGCAGGCTGAGATCGACTCAGCTGCCGAGCTGTGCGATTTCCTTCGCTTCAATGTACAGTATGCTGAAGAGTTGTACGCCCAGCAACCTGCCCACAACTCGCCCGGACTCTGGAACCGCATTGAATATCGGCCTCTTGAGGGCTTCGTGTACGCCATCAGTCCCTTCAACTTCACTGCGATTGGAGGTAACCTATCTGCGGCCCCTGCACTTCTGGGTAACGTCGTAGTATGGAAGCCTTCTGATTCCGCCATTGCCTCCAACTGGTTGCTGTACAAAATCTTCCTTGAAGCAGGACTGCCACCGAATGTAATACAGTTCGTTCCTGGTAATCCCGAAGAGGTGACGAAAACCGTGTTGGCACACAAGCAATTTGCTGCTCTGCACTACACCGGCAGCACGGCCGTATTCCGCAAGCTGTACGGCCAGATTGGCCAGGGTACCGCCGAGGGGCGATACCAAGGTTACCCGCGCATCGTCGGCGAGACCGGCGGCAAGAACTTCCACCTGGTGCACCCCTCAGCCGACATCGACAACGCCGTGGTCCAGACGATCCGCGGCGCCTTCGAGTACCAGGGCCAGAAGTGCAGCGCCACAAGCCGCCTGTATGTACCGAAGTCCATCTGGCCCGAGTTCCGCAAGAAGCTAGCGAGCCAGACCAACGCGCTCGGCGTCGGCGCGCCCTGGAAGCCGCATAACTTTATCGGCCCCGTGATTCACGAGCCCAGCTTCAAGAAGCTGACCGGCGTCATCGACGCCGCTAAGGGCGACGCCGAGCTCGAGCTCGTCGCCGGCGGCGAGTACGACGGCGCCACGGGCTACTTCATCCGCCCCACCATCTACCAGACGACGAACCCACGCCACAAGCTGCTCTCCACCGAGCTTTTCGGTCCCATCTTGACGGCGTACGTCTACGACGACACTGTGGGAGATCTCGCGACGGCGTTCGCCGACGCCTGCGCGCTCGTCGACTCCACCTCCGAGTACGGGCTCACGGGTGCCGTGTTCGCGAGCGACCGCGCCGTAATCCGCGGCGCCGAGGAGGCCCTTCGCAACGCCGCCGGCAACTTCTACGTCAACTGCAAGAGCACGGGCGCCGTCGTCGGCCAGCAGCCCTTCGGTGGCGCCAGGGCGAGCGGCACGAATGATAAGGCGGGCAGCCCGGCGATCTTGGGGCGGTTCGTCAGTATGAGGAGTATCAAGGAAGAGTTCCTCGCCACTACCAAGGTGGAGTATCCGAGTAATGAGATCTGAGGATGTCGCAGGAATAGGGAAGGAAGAGGGGGAGTGGAGGAGAGGACTTGTTGATACCCATCTAAGGTGGACGAGATGAATGTACATAGGTAAAAAGTGTGAGTATTCACGGTTGGGAAGGGTGAGAAAAACCCGGAGTCGGTTGACTCCGTGGACGAGCTATGAGCTATGCCTGAACTTGCACTACTAAAAAGAAATTGTCTGCTTCCATTTTATTGGTGGTATAGTGGACTATACCTAGTGTTAGATATAAGAAACTCGTTCTGCATCTTGTAAACCGCTCTCTCGGAAGCGTTAGGCGATTCAACTTGTTCTGTTCATGTGATTGCTCATGCCTATATTCAGACGACGGCATATGTTACATGGAGCATAATTTACTATTATGAAGGTATACCAGCTATCGTTAAGCTTACTTTTTTCGTTTGTTTACCTGCAAGTATCTTTCAATACACTACAAAATTCGCACTTGCATTCGATGATATCACCGGCGAGAATATCTAACGATATATCGGTGCCTGACTCTATGTCTAAGGTTTAGAGGGTAGTGTATTTAGGGTTGGCACCGGCCGCAAGAAGGCAAGGCTCAGCAAGAACCCCTATCACCGCTGTATTCTGCAGGTTGTAAAGTTCGAGAAGTCGAATGAGCGTTTACTATACTATGACACTATCGTCGCATGCGGCTGACTAGCTTTTGACATATACATAACCGTACTAATATTCTTCAGACTCTGACACAAACAGTCTGTTCTAACGTAGAAATTCTTGTACACGTACCTGAGAACTTATTATTAGGCCATTGTTACTATGATCGTCTGAGACTATTTGAATAGTGATCCTAGGCCCACTGTATGACGCTAGTTTCGGTAAATTCCGTATCTGTGGACTCTTATATCATTAGATTGTGGGTATCGGAAAGTTCCAGACATGGGATCGACTAAAGGCAATGAACTTTCAAGGCTATCTGTGTTAAGGTTTTATTATTTCTGCGATTGTTTCTTTGACTGGGCAAGCTTTTGGTGAGCCTATCATATCAAGGTTCAATCTCGTCAAGTAGTGATAGTTCCTTGATACAAATAGAGGAAGGACTGAGGACGTTGCTCCGTTGGATTCAGACCTCCGCCGGGTCTGTACATTAATAAATCGAAATTCAGAAAAATACTTGGCCTCGCCCTTATGTGTGGGGACTTATGCGGCTATATATAGTTACACGAAAAGTAAAAAAAAAGCACTACTCATAAAGGAAGAAAGAGAGAAGACACTCCAAAACCTTTTGCTTTTGTTGGATCCCTATCGTGCTAATGATTAGTTGGTGTCTTGGCAGGAAGGGGAGAATGTTGTCACTTCACGTACAGCGCAGTCAACTCAGTTCATCTTGAAGCTCCTCACTCGCCCAACCGCGGCTGTCAAGACCGGCTGACAATGATCTGAAGGAGTATTGTAGTACATCACCTTATCCCACCCTTCAGCCTTGCTTGCAGAACAATCGTCGGAAATAAATGCTAGTTTGTGCCGTTAGTACAAGCAAACACAAACCTACCAAAGAAGCCATAAGTAATGGATGAACTTGCCTTGAGCATTCCAAAGACCTCCAGTGTTAAAGAAAAAGACGTCGGTTTTAGGGTCGATCTTCACACATTCGAAGGACCGTGGTGCCTTGTGGTAAAGAATATTTCTATCATTTTTGCTGTCAAAACAAAGAAAATTATCAGCAGGACTTTCTAGATGAATCATTATATAAATAGAAAGAGTCATACCAATCTTCCATTGAGGCGTATTGGTTAAATTTCTGGGCTGCTCTGGGAGCCAATTCACCATCAGAGGCTGGGTAGCCAAATGTGACAGGCAAGCCGACGAGGAGGAGAGTTAAGAACCTGAGGATGGCTGCTATGTAATACATGATGGAGGCTTGACTATTTGGTAAATCTAAGAGAGAATAAAATATCCGTCTTCATGGTTTGGGTGGCATAGCTAGTTTTTATAGCATTGTGATGGATACGTACTGTATGTTGTGGCTGCGATCACGAAGGATTCAAACTTTAAATATAGGTTATCTGGAAAAATCCCTTGCATACATATGAGATCCTATGCTTCTTGAGCCTAGGATTGATAATAGTCCATGGCTGGAAGCTGTAAGGGAAGATCTTACCCTAAGCTGCGGGAACTTTTACTTGGTTTGAACAAGATAGTCATGAGAGCAGGTCAAAATTTTTATGGGGAGGCGGGTCAAAATCAACATCCATCTATTATTAGGTGAACGATAGTAGGAACTTTCCGCTGTGATATAATTCCTCGTGCCAGAAAATTTTATCCTTAAGTCAATCTCAGCTAGGCGATGGTAAGGTTAGAGAACAGCTCATGTATAGACTTTTCTCGGCTAAATTTAAGGCCCCTTTGAGAAGTGCGGCTATTCTGTGTTCAAGAGATATATAAACTGTAACTCTCTGTACTACACTCGGTGTTCATTTATTGCGTACATTACCTTCACACTAATTCAGTTTAGCTTTACATTAGTGATATTTCCTACTTTAGGGTTCTATGTAGCTACTGGCCGCTAATGAGAGTAGAACCTTGTAGGTCTACGAGGTCTTTGGCCATGTTCTATGACTACATCTCTGTACAAGTAGAATCTTTAAACTGCCATTCCTTCTTTAAGTAATCCATGGGTATCTCTACTCACGTTGCATTTATCAATGAAAGACGTTTCTGAGGTTGCCTGGTTGTAGGTAGGCTGAGTCAATGTGTGATTGATTTGATTGAAACTTTTCTTGGAGTGCATTCGCCATTGAAGTTTTGTTAGCTTATTTCTGTGGGGCTTATTGAGTAAAACATATCATCAATAGGGTATCAACCACAATTTACTAGAGGAGCGACAATAAGAAAAATGAAGGCTGCAGAGTGTCATTCCGAAGTTAAACTAAGGCAAGGAGCGAGAGTCTCAAAATGGGGTTGATCATATGGAGTTGCAATTCATGAGCCTGCCTAAGGCGGTGGCTAATTTTTCAAGTATAAGCATGGAAGAGACGCCGAGGATGGATTCTTCAATTTAATCAAATGTGTGACAGAAGCGACGTGGGCTGGTATGGTTAGGGAACTATTATGAGCTGCAGCCTCAGTGTTTGCCTAAGTAATGATTTGAGGTCCTGCAGCTTAACCACTAACACTGTACCTCCATTGGGTTGTCTATCATCCACCATTATGACGTTTCATGGTGAGTTGCGTGACAGATGTCGCAGGCATAATTACTCCAAAAACAAAGGTCCTAAAACAACATGATGATTTTGCTATCTGTTATGAAGTAGAGCTTTATACGTATAATTACCTATGGGGTAACAGAGCAGGGTACATTCAGTTTTGAAACAGTCACAAGGAATGTCAAATAAGCTTTGGTATGTCGGTATCAATGGTTGTGATATTATTACAAGAAAAGGGGTACACTGTACAGGAAGACAAGGAAATAAGAAGGTAGTAAATAAAAAGAATTAATTGGACCATCGTAGAGGTTCAAACTCTGGTCCCCAGGCTTTCATTTGATGATAAAAACCTGGTATCCTAAACCACTAGACGATGATGATTGTTGCTCTATAATTGTTAATATTAGTATCATGAACTATAGTTCGGGTAGGTACATTTCTCTATAGTGGCAACAGGGCCTAGGGTAAACAGCTTTTTGCCAAGGCAAATTTTAAGTCCCAGCATTCAAGTATCTCAAGTCTCACTTCTTATATTTACATAACTTATAGCTCGGGACCTCTGATTAGATGTCTTACTTCCCTTGCCTTTGAGTCGGTGATTCTAATGTGAAGGTTGTGTCACACGGCTATTGGAGCCAAGACCTGTTGGAAGCTATACGAGATGCAGGAATGCTGCACGAGTACATATATTGGGTGCTGTTGGTTGTTATTCGTTACTGATGGAATGTATTACTGCCTAACAAAAGGCATGATCATCAGACGACGCCGATGTAGGCAACAAGAGATTACGCGTACTAGAGTACGTACTGTAGTAGCAGGTCTATATAAGACCATACGCCGATACAGATTAGATTGGAACCCATAAGCACCCTCAGAGGCCCTAGAGAATTATTATTGAATTGATATATTCCAAGCCCTATTACAGCCCTTGTCACAGGTTGTGTGCCCTACGTTCCTCCAATGGTAAATTCTACCTATAGTACCGCCATGTCTCGGGCTGAATATTAAGGGGGCTTATAGGTAACCTAGCAGGTGATTAGATCTGCTGATATTCTCGGCTGAAAAGACAGCATTAATAAGGAGTTAAAAATTAAGTGTCCGCAACATACATCCCGAGGTTTACTCAGCCATTTGATAACTCCAAACATGAGTAGCTCATTATCGTTAGGACACCTTCTTTTCAAGGGCATACAAGAGGCTAACATGGCTTGGCTTGTTCTATGCTTGAATGAAATATTCACAACAATCCTCTCCAATCTATATGGAGTGATAAAAGCAAAGAGCCAGGCTGAATAAGCCTATAAAAGAGCGTATAGGCTATGCGTGGATTTGATTAAACGAGGTGAGGAAACAGCCTCTAAATAGGCTTCATTTATTCTGGCGGCGTGATTTTTGCGGACACTGTATGTGTTAATACCAAGTCCTTTATTTTGGAGTGATACAATTCCATGCATGACCGATCTTGTCCAACCATACCCCCGGCTGCTAGGTAGGATGTAACTATTAGCTGGTCTTATTACCTAACGGCTTGTCTCGCTTGTATATGTGGCACAGGTGGCATATATGGTGGTTCTGTGGAGCAACTTGGAGCGTCAGATAGCATGAATTCAAGACGATTGCCACGGCTCACTGGATTTATTATATACCTGTACTCCTGTCCCTTGATTGGACTAGATGGGCTTACACTGGTGCCAACATCATGTGCTTCATTATAGGTGTCAAATTTTCACTCATTACTAAACATTCTGATGCCAACTTCAATAAGACTGGATATATTGCGAAAGGCATGTTGCCAATATTCACAATGTTACTATCTCTCTGGGACGTCAAAGTTTGCCCCTTGGTTATTTGGCGATCGACTGCAGCTTTCCCTATTTATACTACCCTGCTGGCTTATCCTCAATTCATCATGGTATGCCATAGGCATAAATTGGATAGTATGACGACCGAATTATAAAAAAAATATAAGGATATCCTCTTTGATCACACAAAGAGGCTAACGCTGATAGGTTGTTGGGTGCTTTTGAGACAGCAGTCGCGTGAGTTAACTATGTGAAACGATGAACTAGTGACATCAGAAAGCGTTGAACACCATGCAGAGTTACGATACACCTATGTTTTAACAGTCAAATGGAGGATGATGACTCCTTCATGGTGAACAAAAATGGTGAGAGCTTTTAATGTCAATCTGAGTTCGCGCCAACATGTGAACACGATTCAGAAGATGTCAAATAAAACCTGCCACAGAAATGGTATACCTCAACCGACTGAATCTAATTAAATGTTGTTCTTATCTTGCACAATCTTATGCGCCATTGAACTACATTCATCTGAATCTGATTGCTTCATTGGTCCATCAGTTAGCTTAATTCTTTCTCAAGTCTACGAAATGTTGAACATTCTGAACCGCACCCGCCGACAAAGAGAGAATGATACTTCATATTATTACCCAATAGGCTCGGAAGTAGAACAACACGGAAAAGTAGAAGAGACGGCATTGCCAGAGGCTACTTCTGCAAATGATGGAGCAACGATTATACTTAAACAACATCACTGGAGAAAGGAGATCAAGAGGCATCTTGGGAAGTTGGCTATACTTTTACCCAGCTATCTCCATTCACAGGACCCAGAGGAAAAGCCCAGAAATCTGCATAGAACAGCATGGTTAGGTAAGATCAACATCATTTACGTAACAAGAGAATTATCGCTCACAATGGGAAGATGGTCTGCGTGGCATCGCAGCGTTCTTCGTTGTCTGGCATCACATGTCATTGCTATGGTTCTCATGGAACATTCACAGAGGATGGACCGGATTCAACGATTCATTTATACAACTTCCCATAATTCGGCTAACGATATCGGGCCTCCCAAATGTCATGGTATTCTTTGTTATATCTGGTTATGCTCTTAGTTACAAGCCCCTGAGGCTGCTCCGACAGGATAACCATGACGCAGCCTATCGAACAGTGGCATCTTCGTTCTTTCGGAGACATCCAAGACTATTCATCCCAGCTGTTGCATTGTCCGCCCCTGCAATTTTGATAACCTACTTTGGATTTAATGGGAATGGTGAGGGCATGCCCGGCGCAGCAGTGGTGACACTTAATCCACCCCAACTTGATACGATCTGGCAGCAATGTTTAGACTTCGTTCGCGAGGTTATGCACATGTGCGACATATTTACAGGAAATGCATCCAACTGGCCCTATAATAATGTGCTGTGGACTTTGCCCATGGAGTTCAGAAGCTCACTGGTCATATTCGGCATGCTGCTTGCACTCTCGCAACTTCAGAGTGGTATGAGACTGCTTATCATATTATGCGTAGTGCTCTACAGTCTATTCTATGCTCACTGGCCTGAACTTCTCTTTGTCGGCGGCATGCTCTTGGCAGACTTCCAGTTTCACTTTTACAATCGCCCCGATATTTGCAGGACTGAGTCTGTCGAAAGACCCATGTGTCTAGTAAAAGCTAAGTATCACACTTTGCAGACGATCTCCTCCGTGGTTATGTTCCTTGCTTCACTTTACGTGTTGGGCATGCCTAAGTTAGAGCTTGGCGGCGGCGACGTCCCAGGCTTCAAGACATTAGGTAGCATGATCCCCGAAATATACCATGCGACCGGTGCCATGAGTCACTTTTGGCCCTCCCTTGCCGCTATATGCCTGATATTTTCCATCGAATCTGCACCGTTTCTCCAGGGAATGTTTACTTGCTCCGTCGCACAATATCTTGGGCGAATCTCCTACTCGCTTTACCTCACACATCTGATTATTTTACATAGCTTCGGCTTTCGGGCTGGTAAATTCTTCATTGGGCTGACAGGATCAGGCAATGATTTGAATTACTTTGCTGGAGTTTCCCTGACTTCAGTCGTTTATTGGGCTGTTACCCTGTGGGCTGCTGATCTCGGCTGGCGTTTTGTTGATGCTCAGGTGGTACGTTTCGCGTCGTGGACTTACGGTAGGCTTTGCTCCTAAGCGATGTCTGTATGGTAGAGAATCACACCAGTTGGGAGCTTTACAGATTCAGAATATTGTCTTTGATGCCTGGCATTGGAGGGGGAATGGGCAGTGAACGGGGCTCGAAATAAAGTTATGTCACGATAATAGGGGTATTAGTTATAGTGCCTTAAGCCTATAGATCTCGGAGCAATAATTGCTCCGAGATCCATAGGCTTAAAAGGGATCTTTTAAGCTACTAGAAGATCTTTTAGATCTTAGACCTTTACACAATTCTAATTGAGTCAACTAAAATGATCACGGCAGCACCTAAATGATCATTGCACACACTGTAACTGTGATAAGTTATGCATCAAAGCTTGTGTCAGGACACAATTCTGATATATTGAACATATGAACTTATGCTTCTATGAATCCATAATTTCGAGATGAGAGAGCTGGAGATATGTACAGTGGTGTAGTAAATCTGGCTTAGAAAAAACAATGTCTCCTGGTGCCAGCATGGTGTTTCAAAGAGGAAAGTTGCAATGCGACCAGTATCAGGCTGCTTCACTGCTGCTGAATGAATTACGGGCATCAATAAAGAGAGCCATGGAGAAGATCCGTGAACAGGTAGAAGAAGTTCAGCTAATGCTCTCTTTCTGGTGCTTCAAACTGGGCCCATCCAGATTGTGATAATCCGGTCTCTTTTGTTTGCTTGTCGTTTCCGTTGTCTGTTGAGGAGCCGCCGTAGCGCTTAAACATGATTGTGGGACTGGTGTGTCCTTTGTTGCATGATCCTCAAGGAATCTCCCTGTGCATACAAAGCGAGCGACCCCGTTACTCTTCACATTGTGCAAATAGTACTTATTCAATGTCCTGCCTTTCTGGATCATAATCGCCCCAGAACCAGGCAACGGAAATTCTAGGAGAACTTTCGGATTTTTGGGTGCGTTTAATCCATCAACCAGTCCTTTGAAGTCATCTTCAAATTGGGAAACTGATATTGAACCGGAGTCTCTATCGGCCAGAAGTTGTCGCTTTTCCCCCTCTTCCATGCATCCGGGAAAGGCTCTGTAAATGTAACCTCGCCTCGTTTTGCCTTTGGTGTACTTGTCCTTCAGCGCAAACTGCATGGTAGCTGGGCCACCTAAGGATAGAGAGGCTACTACAGGGCCTGTCTCGCTTTCTCCATCATCGTGCCAGTTCATTCCCATTCTTGGATAATTACCGATCGCCAACAGCTCGTTAAAGCGAGGGTTTTCCCCCAAAGTATCCGTTACTGTCCCTTCAAGCTTCTTTAGAATGTCTTGAATTATAGAGGGAGCATTGTCAAAGGGAGTGGAGTCGGTTATCATACGAGTGTTGTAGTCTCGTCCATAGTTCTTTGCGAAAAACCTCGTTAACTGGCCAGGGTTCTTTTGTCTGTCTAACGTGCAT